CAGTAGAATGAGCAAAGGTCTGCAGCGAAGACGAAGAGAATAGTAAGGGTTTGTTGTCGCAAGTGCGCAATGGTCGGGCGACAGCCGGCGGAAAGGGGACACGATGTCGTGGGTGTGTTGTTTTGGTGTTTGGGTCAGGTTCGGTTCGTGACAGCGTGAGCTCTCTGGTGTGCTTGTGGAGCTGGCGTTGGTTGAGACAAAGCTGGGCCCAGCCGAGATTTTTTGCCCCGTCTTCTCTCCTGGTAGGATTGTCAGGGCGTCAGGGCGTCAGGGCGTCTGGCTCGTGTGTGGCGGCGCGACCCAAGGCAAATCAGCCGGGGGAGGACAGGGGATCTAGGACAGATTCGTTGGCGCTAGTGAGACACCAGGCAGGGGGCCGAGCATGGGTGACAGACGAAGCTGTTCGCTGCTGATGGAGAAGCCGCTGCGTGCCGCTCGCCCTGTGCCTTGTGACAGGTGTTGCCAGGCTTTTTTGATGTCGAGAGCCGCGAAGACGTTGAGAGTGGTAGATATCGACGACGACGACACCTAGGACCACGGCTTAAACAAAATAAAAAAGGGGGGGGAAAGAGGGAAAGTCGCACAGTTGCCGGGAAAAGAGTGGAGTGCAGACAGACAGTCTTCTGAAAAATGAGCCCGGGAGCTCCTTCGATTGCGTTGCGTTTGTGTTACAACACAAGTGGTGGCTGCACCTGATAGGGACGGATGGGCGGCTAGGAGCAGCGAACAGGGCCAAGGCGGAGAAGGGGATGGAGGGGAGGCTTATGCAGGCAAGAGGCAGTTTGGCGGGAAGAGAAAGCGCAGGATCGCAAAGTGTGACGACGTTCGATGCGGTAAAAGGCGGTGGGAAGTGTTTTTGGTTCTGGTCATGGAGAAGGGGGGGGGGAGCGGGTGGATCAACGGGTGCAGGTGATCGTTGTTTGATGGCCGCACTTCAGAGGTACAAACTCGGCTAAGGTGAGTGAGTACGTATGTGCGGTGACACAGAGTCGGGGTGACGAGCCGCCGTTGATGGGAACAGAGGGTAAGCGGCTTGATGGTGTGCCAGTGAGGGGTTGGTAGAATCAAGTCGCGCTGTATGTGTGCGTGGTGTACCTTACCTACCTTATGTGATGATGGATATGCTCAGAAACTGTTGGTAAGGTTGGGGTTTGGAGGTCAAGTTTGGGGGTGCGAGCGGAAAATGCTGCATCTTGGCAGGGTGGGGAAGTAGGTACGGAACAGGAAAGGAAGGGACTGTTGATGCGACTGCCCCGATGATGCATTATTGATGACCGAGGGAGCAAGGAAGAAGCAGTTGCCCGTCGCACTAGGGCGTGACTCGCAAGAACAACCACCATGGTCCTGCCCTGTATTGAACAGACCGGGCATACAACTTGCGCCGCATGGCGCCGAAGGAGAGACTCGTCTACGTTCACGCCATCGTGGAGGTCCCTGTAGTATATCAGTACTGACCATGAGACCCCTCAGACGCATCCTCCGTCTCGTACTGTACCTAGGCTGGCACGCGAAGCATGACCCTATCACAGCTTTGATCCCAGTTTGAGGGGAATCTGGAAGAACGGGGTGTGGGCAGCCCGATGAAAAGTGGAGCAGGGTCGTTTGGTCGATTTGCTGGGCCACGGGGAGTGCTTTCCCAGCTTGCCGTTAAGGTTGAGCTAAACCTGTTCCAGCCAAGTGCTCTTACCCGGGCCTGTCACCTGAATTGCGAGCCTGGACCACCCTGCGTTGCCTGCCTGGTTTTGCATCTTCGTCAACCAAGCATGCCCATGCACATGCGCACAGATCGACAGACAAACAAATCTCGGCACGTCAACGCTTCATCAGCTGTACGAACCAAGATGGGGTTCGTGGCCGCATCTTAAAAAGCTCGCCTACTTTCTTCCCCGAGTACGGAGTCCCATGAGGGCGATACTGTTCGTCCCGCCTACCATACTGACCTACGTACCTAGGTGAGGTAGCTAGGGCTCCATTTAGTCAGCTCACGCCAGCCTTGCTGGACGCAGCCACTATCACACCGGATCCGGCATCTCGGCCTTCCTTGTTGACAGCAAATACAACGTGAACTTCGACGCGAATCCTGTGCAAGTGCAACAGAACTTTTTTCTCAGCCTGGGCGAGGCTGGATGTGCAGGCTGGAAGGTCACACTCTGTGATTCGCCGCACTTCCAGGAATACTTGGCAGTATCCAAACTCTTCATGAGGGACCGCTAACACTGCTTAGCTGCAGGTATCAGTCGCATAAGGCGAATGCTCAGTGGGTAATCAGATGACTCTGAGACGTCCTGTTGGACAGTCCTTCAAGTCTCCATGAACCAGCCTTTCTTGGTTTACATTGAAATAAACCTTGAAACCCGAGATGTCCAGACTGGTGACCAAGAAACTGCGTCGCTTGCTTGACACCACAGAAGAGGGCATTTCTTCTCCAAGTCCTGATTGCAGTTCAATGCCAGGTATATGGGCTGGTAGTACTATGGTACGGAGGCTGCGCCTGCACCAGCGATGTTTGCTGCCGCCAGAACATGTTCTTGGGCCTCATCAGGGCTGGTCCTCTTCGACCTGTTTCGAGGAAGTGCATGATTTGCCATTCGCTTGGCTCCGCCGTTCTGGCATCCACTTTGGGCACTAGTCAAACGTCCATCGTGTCCTCCCTGGGTTCAACCGCTGTATCCCCTCACGATAGCGACGTGGTGCGATTCAAAACAAGACTGTCGGCAATCCCTCAACGGCTCCTCACATTTTGCAAAGGGCGTGGAAAGTGAAGCGTGCACTGCTGGGAGAGGCAGAAATATGCCTGCAGAGTATCTCGTCCCTCCCGAAGGAGAGGGTCTTAAGCCTGGCTGATGCGCTGCATTGACCGCGCACATCAGCGTAACGAAAAGCAACTTTGGCAGCACTCTGGATCCCTGCAACGCCGTCAACGAGGGTTTGCCTACTTACTTAGGCAGGTATAGTAGGGGCTCCGATCTGAGAGCTTCCCCCAGGTCAACAAGCAGGGTCGGGCCTGGTAGGCTTCAATTCGTGACTGATCCGAACTCAGATATTTTGACAATAGCATCCTGATCTCGGCTTGGATCTCACAACACAAGCCATGTTGAAGCCATCATCAGTCGACATGGGACGTGATAGGGTGCTGGAAGGAGAGGGTGTTCACTCAGCTGGCAAATCCCGATGAGGACCAACATACCCAACCTGCCTGACACCACTACCACGTGTGTGTGTGGGTGGGAATTGTACGGATGTCGACTTGCCGGCCTCCACCGGGGCCAAGAATGACACCCATGACGAAGCGAGAGGCCCTAGAAGGCCCCCTCGAACAACCCCCCCCCCCCGTCTCTTCCCCTCATCTGTCCATCCATCCAACGGTTTTCACGGTTTCCCCTCCGAGTAGCCTTGGGCCGATTGCACAGTCCTCACATGAGGCTACGAGGATTTGTTCGCTTCGGAAACGAACCGTTCGGGCTCACCTCAGCCAGCTCGAGTTCAATCCTGATCCTGACACGCGGGCAACTGCTAGCCCAATGAAGCACGGACGGGTCCGACACACTCACGCCACTATGATCGTGTGGTTGCAGCGCAGACGGCAAAAAGGCCATCGGGCGCCGCCGCCGTCGCCGCCACCGCCAGAGATCCTGCCAAGCCTGATTCTGCCGCCTTTGACCCGAACGGAAGAGATGCAGACAAAGGACGGTTAGCACCTAATAAACAGCCAAGAAGCCCCTCGCGACCCGGCCCCGGCCCACGGCCTGCCCCCAAAGACAGAGCCAAAGCCCATTGTGATTGTGCGCTGCTACTGTACCGTCCGCGCCAACGCAACGAACCAACTGTGTGCATCCATCCCCCGTCGTTTCTCCCGCACGAAACCTCTCTCCACCCAACTTCCCAACCATAGCATCGACCTCGATGTGAGGCTCCCTTCTCACAGAGCTGGGCAACTGGCATTCGCAGCGCCGCGGACTGCCGACAGGATTCAACAAGAACGAACACGACAGGACCAAGCACTGCCGTTGGACCAACGATCCAACGCGAATCAGGCGACGTCCCCTCTCGCGGTTCTCACCCGCCATGCCTCCCAAAGCTCTCGCAGGTTCAATGGCAAGAGCCGCAGCGCCGGGCAGCAAATGCAAGAAACGCCGAGTCAAGGTAGGCAACCTTCTCCGCCCCTGCCATCACTGAAGCAAAGCATGTCAATTGTCCATCGCCTTTATTCGTTGCCGGCGACATGATGGCTGACCCCGCGACCTATCCAGTGCGACTGCATCGGTCCCGTCTGCGCCAACTGCCGCCGACGCCAGGAACAATGCAGCTATCTTGGCCTGCTGGCGACGAACATGAGCGACCTGACGACGGGCCTGTCGATCTCGACCCGGAATGACGACGCCATGGCTGTCGTGCGACACGCCGCCGCCGCCGCCGTCGAGCACGCTTCTTCACGAGATGCCCTGATCAACACTATGCCGGCCGAACGATGGAGGGCCGACGAGGCAGAGCTGAAGCATCACTTCTTTACCCATGCGTGGCACACCTTCTCGCTCTTGTCAGACCCTACAAAATGCGATGTTTGGTCTAGGTGGATCCCGCAGCTCGCCACGCGACACATATTCATCCAACAAATCATGCTGTCGTTGTCAGCGTTACACATTTGCTACCTCCAGCCTCCAGATCCCAAACGATACTACGCCCTCACCTATCAATACTCCATACAAGCTAGCAACTGTTTTCGGCTCGCCATTCGAGAAATGAACGAGGAGAACTGGGTGCTTCTGGTCATGTTCTCCATGTGTAACGGTATCTTCGACTACTACCGACCCTTCCTCGACGAGAACGTCATGTCCATACCCTACCAGCCCAACCCAGCCGACACGTTGTCGCTCATGCGCGTTGGCGGACAGTTCGGCGTGTCCATCGCCGAATATATGAAGAACAGCCCCTTGCGCGACAAGATTCAGCAGGCCGACGCCGACGCCTGGGCCCAAGACCCAGACGACCTCGCGCCCGCGACGCTTGACAAAATCACAAAGCTCGAGACCTGGCTGCGACCTGGCCCGAGCGACAGCGACCGCGAGGTCCTTGAAGCCGCCGCTGCTACGAAGGCCCTCGCCGCGCTGTCGTCCTGGGTCAAGACGCTGCCTGGTGGCAAGCCGCGCATGTTCTGCCACATGGTCGCCTGGCCCGTCATGCTGCAGGAGGAGTACATTGCGCTGTTGCGCGCTAAGAGCCCTGCCGCCCTCATGGTCTTCATTCTTTGGAGTGAGGTCGCTACCTACGCGCCACGCCGGTGGTACTACGCCGCCTGGTTCCAGCGCGGCCTCAGTATCGGGCGGCGCGAGCTCGAGGCCCAGCAGCCCCTGACACAGCTGCACAGGCTGTGGAATTCTGTCATGGCCGCCGACGGCGACGAGTCCTTGGGCACCACCAGCGAGCACGGAAGCGCGTCCACTGTTGCGAGCACGGCATATCCGCCAACGCCCGTCTTCACTGGCGACGGCGACGGCGAGACAGAACCGAACTGGGGGCCTCTCAAAGAGCAGATGGGCGACAAGCAGGCATTGCCGCCCGGTTTTGGGGAGTTTATCGACGCGGAGCTGGAGGTCATGGGATGAAGGACGAAGGCTGAACTGGCATGGTCTGGAACTGAGCCCACCGATTAACAGGGGCACTGGTGTATGGGCTGGCGCATTGGGGTCGACTTCTGGCTTTGGGAACAGGCGTTTTGAACAGAGAAAATGGAAGCTCGGGCTTTCAGGGACTGGAAACATATATGCATACGTACATAATGGAGCGTGGTAATATGCCATCGGCATGGGGGGGAGCTTCTGAATACATATATCACGGATGGCTGGCGCACTGTGGACTTTCCGCTTCTCGATGGCCATGGTGAGTGAGTCTTGGCGTAGATGCTGCATGTCGTGTCCCTTGCCGGCACGTTGGATGGAGGCTCTCGGTATATCAGCCTACTAGGTTGACCCTTCGAGTCCCGAGACAAAGCGCAGTGAGTCTGATCCGGGCCTGTATGTTTCTGACGACGTGTACACGTAGAACAGGCTTCAGAGTCGCCAAACCAAGACCGCGGTATATGCCCGCTTGAGCTAACCATGAAAACAAGTACACTTTCTTAAATTCCTCTCTACAAGATGACATCCCTCACCTATCACACATTCTTATTTGTCCTCAGCGGAACCGAACTACCACGCCCATGCCACCACGAGTCACACGGGAAGGACGCTTGATGGCCCAAGACATACTGAGATGAAATCCCGTTCGATCTATCATAGCCGAAGGATCAGAATGCGTGAGTGCGCTAGCCGACCCAAGTAGTCCCGTTAACGACACCGTCGAGACTAGTGGAGTGGTCATTCAAGGTCTAGCCAGCGTCGCTTGTCGACGCATGAGCGCCAAGCCTCATGATGCTCCGCAAACAAAAGAAGAGATGCGTTTCAGGGGGATGAACCCATCGCCCGCATCATGTGACGTGAAATCTAGGCGATGGCGGATGCACGATGTCATTCGGTGTCGAGGCTTTGGTGAACGTTTGTGGATCTGGGTCCCCCTGTGATGGCCTGGTGCCAGAACGCACGAAGATGATTCGATACGGAGGACATCTTGGAGGGGAAATCTTCGCTAAGCCAATTATCGCGGACGAAGGCTTGGAACATGAAGACTAAGACGATAACGATGAAGGAAAAGCAAAAGCTGATACCTACGGGCACCTGGTTTCTGGTTTCCGAACCAGGGAGTCGAACCCTGCGCCTGTCGGTGCTTCCGGATTGAAAGCGACAAATGTTAACCGATACACCAGTACGGATTGGTGGATGGCGGGGTTTTATTAGAGCTACATGTTCTCTAACAGCTGTGGTGAGCGACCAGCAAAAAATCTCAAAATATTTCCGAACCAGGGAATCGAACCCTGAGCCTGACGGTGAGAGCGTCAAATGTTAGCCATTACACCAGTTCGGATTATCGACGGTGATTGGCAATATGTTTATACAAGACCCTTCTACACCGGCTCAAATTGAAGTTGAGCTTCTGTCTCTTTGCATACGAGCGTTACAACGGCCTGATGATGGACAAGAGACACACTGCGATCCTGATGGCTTTGATTTCATGGTGATTGGCCCGGGATTTAGCTCAACATACGAAGGTACCTTGCTCGTGGTCAATCGCAATAACTTCAACTCTTGCCTTCCGTCCCACACACAATCTTGTGAGGCCGGCTACGTGGCAGCGGCTGGCATCTCGCTCGCCTTGTTGGGGAAATTCACAGAGAGCGCTGAAAATAGCCACGCGCCTGAAGAAGTTCAAGCGTTTTTTGTTTGAGTGAATCCACTAAGGTAACGAGCCCTCGGACCCTCATCCCCAGCTACCACGGACAAAAAAGCGTCAATACAGCTAGGCTTGCCACAATTCCCCATGTATGCCCCTTCGAGCCCGTCATTCTTGCTCCTGTTCCACTCTGTGACGACGTTGTTGCACTCGCACCAGTCGCCTGTGAGAAGGCCTCTGTCTCCGTAAAAGTCTGCTTCGGCGTCGGCGCAGGAGAAGCGCCGCCTGTAGCCAGAAAAATCATGTTCTGGGTGGCAATGCCCTCCCATTCTTGATCGTCATCGGCTGTGGCCCAGTAACCCGAAGAAAAAGTCGTCTCGGAGCTGATGAGGTCGAGCGTCGTTGTCAGGCTCAACACTATGCCCGTCACGGTCTGGTTGCCGAGTGGAAAAGATCCGGTACGTATGTTCCGGGAGGCCAAGTTCGTGGTTCTCGATGCCGCATGGCTGTTGTGCCCGGAAAACTTGGCTCCGCGAAATTTAGAGGAAGCAGAACGCCATTTATAATCAGGGATCCAGTCGCTGGGGGTCCGTGTCAGACGTTTTATCCTCGTTCGTCAAAGTCGCGGATCTTAGCTCACCTGGGGACAGCACGCGGATTCCAGTCTCCTGAGAGGCCGGAGTGCATTCGCCCACCCGATGGACGAGGGGATTGAAGACAGTGTTTCGTCGTTTCCGATTTTCTCGGGGCGCGTTACCCCATGACGGATCAAAAAACTCCGCTATACGACAGTAGCCATCCTTGGCTCGTGATACAAGGCCGACAGTCTTCCAATCTACCGGACACGCCGCAGCTGGCGAGTAGTAGTAAAGCTGATAGCCTTGGTTTGGTTGACCGGTGCGAGAATTGTAATCATTGTCCATTGCAGACCCCGACGGGAGACAGTTGCCAGCCGATACTATGTCGCATTGTTGGTTCCATAGGATGTAGTCAGGCTCATAAGCGTCGGGGCCGAGCCCGACGCCTTGGACCGGGAGGGTACATTCAGGCGGAGCTGTGAAGGTGGTGGTCAGAGGGCCAAGATTGATCAGGTCAAAGTCTAAGGCCCAGGTAGCTGTCGGCATCTCAAAACGATGAACGCAATGTTCGTGGAAAGGATACCACGCGGTATATGACTGCTCTTCTTCTTCTGGTCGGCTACTGGGGAACGATCTTCGCGTTGGTAGACAAGCGACGCCAAGGCTGTCACGCGATGCAGGACCTGTCTCGGTATTTATTTGCTATGAAGCCATCGTGAAATTTGACAATCACATCTGCTGTGCCGCCCTTCCGCATGATCTAATTTCGTGCCGTCGGATCCGCTATCGATCCTACCGGACCTTGCCTCTGGTTCTCAAACGGCATGGGCCAATATGCACCTCACATGCTAACCCGGAATAAGAAGGTCCCCTTCACAAACGTACATGAGGAACAATGGTTCGCCAAACCTGGGTCATCGGAGGTATTCGCCATATTGAGCCAAAGTTCACTTTGGATCGAAGGTCGACTTCAAATGCATGATCATTCCTGTTCGTGTGGCATGATGGATGGACACCTGAATTGAAAGGACGCGCAGCTCATCGTCCAAAGTCTACCACCACCTAATTGCATTGACAGCTACAGGCGGTATCGAATAGCAACATTCAATTGATTGTTTCAAGTGTGATAGCTTGAAGCTCGTGCAGAAAGTCGACAAATTAGGAACAACATGCCATTTTCGCTATCATGGATTATAGACAGCTCATGTTACCATGCTTCTGTCACTCACAGATTGACTTGGCTATCGCTGAGCCATTCGTGCCAACGATGGCAGTTCGTTTTAACAGTTCCGGCACCAATAGGTGCTCCGGTCCATAAAAACAACCGTTGCTTTCGTACGCCGCGTTGGCTTTATGTCTGCTATGAATGAAATAGATCAGGCAATGACAGGTCTAAACCTCAAACACAATGTCCCTCTGCAGTATTTTGTAACTCACAGTTTACAGGGGAACTCGTTTTTAGTTTAAGCAAGATGACCGAGGATATATGCTCATGAGAGACGCCATCAAATTGGGCCTGTGTTTAACAGTACACCGAGGATCGGACGCTGATACAGCTCTGTAGTATGAGCTAGCTCGAATAATGGACTAGCTCGAAGTTCTGCTAAAGGCCCAGATTATTAATGTTAACCCGGCCCCCCCCCCCCCACCCCTCAAGTTGGGACATTTCGATACCCCTAGTGTCAACGATCGACCCAATTGTAGATGCATCTAGCGGATCATGGTTCTGTGTTTTCTTATTTCTGACTGTTCAGAGCGGTGTTTAGAGCCAGAAGTGAAGGGGTTCTTCCACAGGGTCCCCCAGGTAGTTTAGAAATATAGGGTATGGGGATAGGAAATACATCTGCATTCTGGCCCTCCGCAGCTTGGGGGGGCCCTCCGCAGCCTATATATACGTTCTCTCAGGACCCTTAGCCCCTAGCCAGCCCCTTCGCTTGGCAGGCCCTCGGTGGCTCCGCAGGGGTCCTGACACTGACCCTTCCTTCCTGTCGGGTGCGTAAGTTCTGCTGTCATAACAATTGCGCTGCAATCTTACTTCTAGGTCGGCAGTCATAACTACCATCTAGCGCTGCCAAAATATACGTCAAGCTTTGTTATTGGAATGAAGTTGGACTGAGCAATAACTGAAGCAGGGACAGGAGACGAAGGAGATATGTTGCATCAAGCAAGGGCGTTTATTGTTCTGGGACAACAGAACAGACCGCTTCCCAGCCAGGATTGCTGGGGAAATGTCCCTAATAAGCTCGGGAACAATGCGTCGGTCTTGTTCAGATGCTGAGGACTGCAGCGGTGCAGCACGCTGAGTGCCTTTGTCCACCCATTGCGCTCTGCTCGGCATCTTACTCGGGGTTCGGGATCCGACATTGCTCGGGATTTCGGTCAGACCAGCACGTCGTAGTTCCAAAGCGTTCCCACGTGAAGCACGACCCGATTGTTAACTAGCAGTGCATATGCATCTTTTTTAACTGTCAACAGAGGAATGCCTGGACCTGTAGAATGGCGCGTTTTACGGCCGAAACTGCATGTGTACTGTTGACTGGGTCCACCAACGATACAATCCGCGGGGCATTTTGGGGTACCCCGGATTAGGTCCGGCTGGCCGCTCATATTCAGGCTTCCGTTCATCCGAAGCATCCACTTGCCAACACCCGAGCCGACAGCCATTACGCTGTATAAGTGTCCTTGGAGACCATATGTTTTGATGTGCTTGAATCATTCTATCCAAGTCGTACATGCCCTCATAGCTGTCATCCAGAACACTTGGTTGCCTGCTTCCATCCCCCAACATTTAAACATTTCACAATGAGTCTTCCCATTCGCACCGCTTGCCGCGCCATTCATGCTCCGACCACTGCTCAGGCGTTGCGCCATGGGCGATGGATGGCGACGACCACTACTCCTGAATTCTCAAGCACGAGGGACACTGTGGTGCGAGATGCCATCATGGACAAGCTTTGGGGAGCTGAGGCAAGCCAAGCTGCTGACCAAGCATCGAATGCCACAAGAAGTGTCGGTTCTGCCACTTCATCAAACGCAGAAACCTCTTCTGCCCAACCTCGGCTCTGAGGCCGCGTCAGGCTTCGCCGGGAATTTAATCTTAGACAAATTACGGCAAAACATGACAGGTCCATTGTCAGTATCTTATCATTACGAACCCTGTCGAGAGCTGGTCTAACGACGAAGTCTTCAGGCCAAATGCCGAGATCAACCTGCCTAAAGGTTGACAACAAGCATTGGTTCCCTCATACCCTCAATATCACCAGATAAGCATGCGAGTTCAGGGGGGGTGGGGTTCGGGGGGCACACGCCGTCCCAAGATTGCAGCGGCCCTGAGAGGAGCCCGACGGCAGATCAAATGAGATGTGGCACCAGCGTCAGTACTTGATGCAAATGATACGGGGTTGCCGTTCGACCCCATCATACATTAGGGTGACGACTTGCGGTGGTGTTGTTAGGATTTGTGTTACCCGTGGCAAACATGGCAGGTACCATCCTGTTATGATGAACAGTATTAGTACAAATCAATGGAGAAATCGGATAGACGAGTATTCGAGCGTGCACTAAATGACTGGAGGGACATATACTGTCAATAATCGATGGGGAATATTAATATGGCTAACAGAATTGTGACCAAGACCATGCATCTTTCAAGCAGGTTGATGGATCCATACACAGATTAAAATCTCAAATAGCCTAGGTCCCTGCACGATTACACTTGCCAGAATTGAAGAAAATCCGTGAGTCCACTGCAATAGATCATTACTAAGTGAAAGAGGGGAGAGCGCGCTGACGGTCGAATATCAGACATGAGGACTCGCGCTACATGGAAGCCTCTCGGTCAATCTCGGCTCTCTTCATGCTGGGCTGTTTCGTCAGTGCCATGAAAACAAGAGCGAGGGTTAGCGCAGTTCCCCAAGTGCTCAGAAGAAGAAGCACCATCCTGATCCAGTAGCCACTCTCAACAAAGCTGGCAGGGAAATATGAATACAAAATCTGATACACCATTTCCCACGCGGCGCCGAGAACATTGATGCAATTAGCGCCAATGATGAATTTTGTAACCTGCTTGAAGGTTAGTTCCGGTATCAGTCGAGATAAACGCTTGAGCTCTTACCGAGCGAATCCATTGCGAAGACTTGATGGTGAACGACCAGACTGCCACGATCACCGAGGCTACAAATATCATAAAGTTGAGGGCGGTATGAAGGCGCACCATGTGATCTGCTGCCTCGATTACGATACCATAGGGGTTGTTGCTCATGCTCTCCGCGTGAGCATAGACAAAGACCGCGAAGATGGGAATGGCCATGACGGCGCTGAATCCGCCCAGAACCAGTGCCAACGAGCGGACAAGCCGTTCTCGACCAGCCGGTTCACTGCTCATGACATGGTGAATACCACTGCCTGCCGCCGACAACAGGATCGGGACCATGGCTCTGGCCCAGATATTGAGAAGCACAGCAGTCCAAGCTATGAATGGGCTTGGGCTCCGATCGGTATAGAAGCTTCCGTAACGCGAGGCGAAGTATAATATTCGCTCGATGGAATCAAGAAGGATAGAGCTTTGCGCCTGATTAGCTGCGATCTGAAATTCTTCGGTGGACCAAGGGTGATTTACAAAGTGAACACAACAGATGTGGCTTTCAGCCATGAAACGGCCTTGCCGAGATAGACATCCGTTCCCCGGAGCTTGGCAAAGGTCAGAATACATAGTATGAAAGAGCCGAGGAATGCGATAATGTAGAGAGCCAAGACGGCTCTTTGGTACGCTTCAGGGTCGACGTAAGCCATCTTGGAGCTGCCCGACAGTCGAAATGATATCTTGCTGCGAGTCGATTGGCAATATTTGATAGGTTCTGTATGATGAAGGTGTTTGGACTGTCTCTCTCCCCGAACAGGCCATGGCATGGCATGCTTAAGTAGCATCATAGCTGCATCTGGAGTTTGGGTGGAGGGCCTCAGACTGTGCATGCACCCGTGTCACACAGAACTTTGACGTCCGCGGAGGGCCGTATGCCGGCCTTCAGCCACTGGCAAGGTTTCATTCGTGCCCAAGCTTTGCACTGTTTCTCAAAGTATGGGATATCACTCGGGCGTCGGTGGTACAGCCCCTGGCTGATGCAATGGGGCTATGCAAATACCTCGAGGCATCGCAGACTCTGGGCGTACAACACAGCCCCAAACACAATCCAGAGATCATATTTCACTGCACTACTGTGCCGCTGGTAGCATGGATGATTGGATCAGGTCGCCGCAGTGCCGCATTCACACATTGGAGATTCAAGGTATGCTCTCTGGTATGCCGATTTGCCCTCTAAAACGTGTTTGGTGGTGGGGCTGTGCTTGATTCCCAACAACCACACGATACTGCCTTGCACCATTGAGTCGCCATTTGACCTGTGCGCTGCGTTGTGCACCGCCGCCCTCCTACCCACAGGCCCCTGAAATCTGGTTAGGAAGTATTGGTCCACCGCTCTAACGGCCGTCACGAGAGCCATCTCTAACAGTTGGAGTGAAAGACATACCCAGCACAGCAGGTACATTGCCTGATACGGCGAAATCGCCTAGGTAAAACACTGTACGAACGATCACGTCAACACAACGATTGTCCATGTCTCTTTTCATTGTGGCCTCTTCCGACATGAAGAACCCGCATTTCCGTCCATCTCCCCTTCAAGTATCCCTAGAAGTCGTCTGTCGTGGATGCTTGGATGTTCCAAAGCTCATCATCTGGAGACTCCAGCCAGGTACACGGCCTCGGAGCTGAGGTTACTGAGGATGCAGCGCAGTTTGAGCGAGGATAAGAGTGCTCCGGTAGACGATGCAAAGTCTCATTCTCTGCGAAAGGTGTTGGGCATGATAGCGAAGACTTTGCGATTGTAGGCAATGTGACTAATGGCCACAGTGTGTTGGCGTCGCAGTACACCAGATCTACCTTGGCAGAAGCCATCAGGGATACTATGGATGCCTCATGCACGGAGGCCTCCTAACGCTGACCGATGCGCAACATAAGAGGTTTTCCGAGATTTTACGATGGAAAACCCCCGCCCGATTGCTGCCAATTGTTGCCAACTGCAGAAGATGAAAATCCCACGCTCAACACAATCTGTCGAGCTGTATCCTTCGTCATGAGGCGATTAGCCATGAGAAGGTGCCCGTGATGGTCTCGCTCCAGTTGCGGTTTGTCTCATTGCATTGAAGAACCCTTTCCGACCTTCGCCATGCTGGACACACTGTGAACCGAGGTCATCCACCACGTGTTTTGTTTTCTTGAGGAGCTGGAGGTTTCAATATTGCATCTTGTGTGCCGAACGTTGCGCAACCAAATACAACAGGGTCGCCGCGGCATGGTTCATCATGGTGGAGGCCGATCTTGTCGAGCTTAGCTTACGAAGACTCGAGACCCTTGCGCGTTTCGCGCCGAAGATCAGCTTCCATATATCCATTTAAGGCTCCTACTGGACTTATGAGCGACTAGCCTTCAGTGCAGAGGGTTGGATGATGGGATGTAGCTCGTCCTGACGACCTCGGGGCGAGGTCAGGGTACGGTCTGTAACGTGTCACACTCGTCCGCCAAGCTTGATGGAGTTATTCAATGCGGACAATCGAATAGGAATACTGGAATTAAGACGGGTACTGCAAGAAGCAGACGTGGCTAAGTGTTAGGGGAGTCAGATAGATCAGCCTGTGTAATCTCACGTACTGACGTCATAGACTGAACCGCAGAGGTCTCCCAATTTTACTGCCTCGGTCCTCACTTCATGCTTGTTTGTTTGTCAGATTTGAAGTTGCATCAGCATTGCGAACGGAATAGTATGGGATATTGCTCGGCTCCCAGTCTTAATCGTACGTTCTGATGTTGTATCTCACCTCACACTGCTAGCAACCCAGAATGAGCGCACTTTCCTCACTTTGAACTAAACTCTCGCCTTGGATGCCTTACTTGATCAGTGAATTACACGTCATTCCAGGCTTTTTCAATGGTTATATCCAGTTCAGCTGACGTGATGATAGCAACCCGAGGCACAAGCAAATTTTGCAGCGCAGCCGACAGTAAAGCCAGTCATCCAAGAGTATTGACTCAAGGTGCTCTAGCTCATTAGGCCACCTTTGACCGACAACGTCACTTGTATTGATGCAAACGGATATCTGGGATGACCAATCAATACTGCACCCCACTCCGATCTACCGAAGCTGTTAGGGTTGATCGTCTGCAGGAATCGGGATCACCGCCAGGGATTCCTTTGCCTCAATGACGGCGTCAGAAATTTGCCAGTACCTAATCACCGCCACATTTACCATACTCACTGTTAAGAAGTCTAGAACCCCAAGGAAGAATAATGGACAATCACACATTAACAAGCCCATTTCTCAGGACAGCGCGTGTGGAACTCGTGGCGCTCATGCAACGTGTCAGGGCTTCCCATGATCGTCCGATCACACGCATTCTGATCGCGAAGATGAGGTTCAGGCCTTATAAACCACACGAGAACGACGGCAAACATCATTCAATGTCATTTGCCTGCCTAATGGAAGAATGAGAGCTAGGCCAAGAGCTTGCCTTGCGTTAATGACGAAGCCAGCCTGACTAAGACACGGACGGGCTTGTTGAGGGGCCCGGCATCCTGGAATGTACCCTGGCAGTAAGACAGTGGCTGTTAAGTGGCTGTCATACAAGGATGGGCATTGCTTGTATTGCAATGATAGACACGATGCTCCCTACTTAAAAGTAAGTCTGAGATCGGAGACATGCTGCAGAGATAAGTGTTGTTTTCTAGAACGTCTCTTTCTTTAGGTCACTTGCGTGCTGCACGTAGATTGAGCAGCCTGAAATTCAGAAGCAGCATGATCCTCACTTGACTTTATCGACCCAACCGATATCGTTCGGTCGTGCTGTCAGGCACCAACATAGCCAGCCGCATAGATGCCGGAATGATCTGCCCTAGGGCACGAAAACAGATCTCGATGACGAGATAAGGCGCGGCTCAAAAACTAGCGCGCAGCCAAAATCGATGGTGGCATCTTCACCCCCTCGATCTCAAGAGCACATTCCTGGAGACCCGAGACATACTGCAACCGGGGCGTCGCTAGCCCAAGCCACCCATGCGACCATGCCTTTCGCAGCATATGGTCCTGTCCCTACAGATCAACGGTGCTGCTTTGCCCAAATCTTACCGCCGGATCGACGGGATGAAGTCGTCATCCCAGCTTGCTGCGACATTCACACCAACGGACCGCCGCCATTAGGATCTTTTCAGCCGCATGTCAGATGTGACATTCAACGGATGCATCTAGCCGCGGTGTCCCGAGCATGTCCTCGCAACTTTGTGATGAGATCATGCCCCCATCTTCTGCCTATTGCATTCACATTCGCACCAGCTCTCTGGGTAGTTGGAGATTTCTCGAAAGGGATGAAGGTATGACGTGTGAAGATGACGTCGAAGATGCTCTCGGGCGACGGACATCACGAGCTTTCCGCAAAAGCATATATGTTTAGGCTTCTGGCCGGTCATCATCTTTCTTCTCTCATCGCATCGTCACCCTCAACTCAGTACTGCAGTGATACCCAACTTCAACGCCATCTCAAGCCACACAGCAACAAGCCAAACAACAGTCGCCAATATGCAGAAAGCCAAGCAAGCCGTTGCCGACTTCGTCTCCCGCGATGGGAAGCACAAGACCACTGTCGAGGAGGATGTTCGTCGCGAGATTACGGAGGAGCATGTTATGCCTCACCGCCATGAGAATGTCACGACCGCGATCGACAAGGAGGTTCACCAGGATCATCACCACACTACTGTGCAGCCCATTATGGCGAAGGAGACACTGTAAGTAGCCCAATGTCGCGATTTACATCTGGTCGCTAACAACCGCAGTGCCGAGAAGCACACTCACAACATTGTCCCTGTTGAGCACAAGACGTTCGAGCATGGCAACGACAAGGATGTCCGGGCCAAACTTGATGCCGACGCTGCCCAGTACAGGGACACTTCTACCACTCACGACACTACTCACTCGAGCTCGGTCAATCCCGTGGTTGCCGGTGAGCGCATTCATCACCATGTGCACGAGCACGTTCAGCCCGTGATTCAGAAGGAGGTTATCGCGCCCCAGGTCGTCCACACAACCATTCCCATTCATGAGACCCACCATGCCGCGGCTCAGTTTCACGGAACCTCTGTGCTCCCCCCCAAGACACTTGAGGAGCTCAACAGCAACAAGGCCGGCCTGGACGGCAAGGGACATTCCAAGGTTGAATATGATGGGTGCCCCAAGTCTTACAACAGAGACTTGCAGGTCGAGCAGGGTGAGGGCGACAGAGATATGCACGCCCACAGCGGCGGTCTCGGCGGAGTCCTGAGCGGTACTCGCAAGCACAAGCACACTGGCTCTGCTGATAGTGGCGTTGGTGTTAATCCCGACACTACTGGTCTTCGCAGCGACAAGGCGGCACTCAAGAACGAGGCCGCCCTGCGTGAGAATGCTTCTCAGCGTGTCTAAGTTATAGACCGGAAGAGGGGCTCGCTTATGTGTAAAATTAGCCTTGGCTTGATACTGCAGATGCAATTAATAGTCGAATTTGGAATTGCTCCGCTTTGTTCCTTCACGGCGTGACTTTGACATCACTCCCACGAGTAATGCAGCTTAAGATGTAGCACTGTATATCTAGCACTTCTCTGTGTGTATTATGGCACTCCTCAAACATGAGCTCGCCGAAGGCATGAACATTCTGCCTGACGTTAGTTTGGTGATGAATTACGTCGACCAGTCGGGGTTGCGGAGTGAAACCTTCTCACATCGCGGGGTAACGAGTCCCAGACATCGTGGAGCTGGTGTTGATGACGTCGACCATCGGTAATGAGGTGTCAAGGAGCAGGACTTCCAATGTCGCTCGAATGATGAGAAACGTGCCCAAACGAGGCAAATTTATACTTGCCACTTCAACATTGCGTACCTTGCATGCTTGCCTTCGTGTCCTGGGTCGCGTATCTGGGCTACTCTCAAGCACTATAGAAACAATGGCATCTTTACCAGAGACGAATCAAGCGGCTGGCGAGCCAACCTCGATCAAAGATCAAGCATTATCGACAGGCGCATCAGCAACTCAGGTCGGTGCACTCGCATCTTTCTTAGCACTTTGCGTCTGCCAGCTATCAGCACAACTGACGACTGCAGACCTTTGCTCCCATGCAGAATATTTGTGCACACCTCAACGCGTTTCACGCCTACGTGTCGGATCCTACCCGAGTTGTCGAAGCCAATCACTACTGCGGCCATTTGAACGAAGACGTACGACAGTGTATTATTTACGACAGTCCTGAGCCGACTGCCCGGATCATCGGTGTTGAGTACATGATAAGCCCCACGCTATACGAAACACTTGAGGCCGAGGAACGGAAATTATGGCATAGCCACGTGTACGAGGTTAGATCTGGGATGCTCATTATGCCGCAGCCTGCTTTACCAGATGCAGCCTGGCAGCTGGTCGAAAATAAGGAGATGGAGGAAGTGGTAAAACTGTATGGAAAAGTGTATCACTTGTGGCAAGTCGACCGCGGGGATAAGCTGCCTTTGGGCAAGCCGGAGTTGATGACGAGCTACACGGCGCCCGGGCAATTTGATTTCGAGAACTTTGTCGGTGACAGAGATCGAAGATTCCAATCGGACTACAAGAGGAAGGAGAAGGCAAGAGAAGGGATTAAGAGCCCAAAAATCCACCCTGATACAGACCAAGCATGGAAGACACAGGGCAAGGTGCGCGACGACAGAGAGGACCTGAGAAAATAGTCTTCGCCCGAGCAAATTCTTCAGGGGCCACTGAGTCCTACCTGACTCTTGCAAGCATCGCCATTCTTATGCGCAATTCAGGCTTACGGGCTTGCCGCTGATAACCAAGCTCGAGCTAAACAAGGCAGCATTGCTGCGTGTCAAAGTTGGCCGAAGGTGACCGTGGGGGTTTGGCAGTCTCGCTTTTCAAAGGCAAGGAGGCGCATGGCATGATCACGAGACAGACGACACTGCACTTCTGCTTCAGAGTCGTCCCAAGCGTGAGAGAAGGTCCGGCGATGGCCGTTGGGGGCTGTGTGGCCATGTGCCTGTTGTCCACTCGGCCGAAAGTCATCTTGAAATGGCACGATGACTGGCGGAGAGTTACGTGAGACGACAGATGTGTTGTAGGGTCACCCTGGCATAGCCCATCGTCTTGAGACCTCCTTGCGACAATCACGTGGATCTCGACTCGTCTGTCCTATGGGGAGGCGTTCTGACGCATTGATAGACGCCAGGTAAGGCATTGGAGGAATGGCAGCTACCTGGTCACGAAACATGAAGTCGGCTCGCCTTTCGGCTTTTGTTTGTTGTCGCCTGTTCGTAAATCGATGGGTCTATTCCTGTCAAGGTCGTCCGACCACGCAGTAAATGATTGGCTTGGCGTTTTCTTCTGTTCTCTCCGATGGCAGGCCACTAAATAATCACCGGAAATGGGGCCGGGGTTAAGCTCCAGGATGTGGCCAGCCTAATATGACAAACATGGCCAATCGTATGAGGGATGGTTCTGCCTACCTCTCTCATGGCCAGAAGCAAACATCTGCTTTGGACATGCCGAATGGCGAATCTCTCAAGTGGCCGGTAGCAGAACGCACTGTATGCCAAATAATAATAATAATGGCGATGCTCCTCGCCCTCCCGGACATGACGCTTGCTTGCCTTACATGTGTGGAGTCGTTTTTACATCCGGACGAAACGTGGCCTCGGCGAGGTCACTTGCTCCCCTCTGTCTCAGCATGTCGAGCACCGCACGATAAAAAGTATGACTCGTTCTGGACGTACTCTTCTAGGCCATGCTTGGCGGCCTAAAGCCCTGCCAAAATTGTAGACCATCATCCTCTATCCCCACGATGGTTACAGGGGTATCCTCTGTCTCCTGAGCGCATCTCCACCCCTGGAACAAAACCCGTTGCAGATGATCAGAGCCTTGGCCACTGCTACCCACACGACGATGCACTCAAGACCCAATGTTCAAGGAGCTTGCGAGCCTTGGCAATCGGATGTATTTGCCATGCACGGGAATGGTTTGTATAAAGACACCAGATGATTTTGACTCAATTATCGTCTTGTCTTTCGATCCTCTATCCAGTCTTTCCGTTTCCGCCTGATCCATCTGTCCGCACCTTTGGCTTGAAGTCATCTCTCTTTAGCGTACTTCATTCTCTTCTAGTGCTGGGCACATTTTGGTCTTTGACAGACATCCTTTCAACACATACAAAATGGTTTCTTTCACCAATTTCTTGTCAGCGTCAACTGTGCTGGCTATCACCCATGCGCACGGCGTCATTTTGAATGCCCAGGGACCTGCGGGTCCGGGCAGTGTTGGCTTCCAGGGCAAGTCATGGGGATGAGATACTATCAAGACTGTGGACTAACATCGACTAGTCAACCCCGACCTTCCTCGCAATTGCACGACCATCTCTCCCTGCCAGCAGGACGCAACCCTGATCAGAGACGCGGAGATTCAGCAAAATCTCGTCAACGAGTGTGGTCGAACTGAACTGGCCGGTAATATCGACATTGGCGAGAACACCGAAAACGCTCTGGCCGCCAATGCTGTTACCCAAGTCACCAAGGGAAGCTCTATTGAGGTTACAATCCACCAAGTCAACGCTGATGGTGCCGGCCCTTACGTTTGCGATCTTGATCAAACGAGCAACGGCCTTCGCCTCGTCGGTCAGATTCCGTTGAACGTCACAAATAATGTTCCCGGTGCCAACGGCTTCTCCCAAGCCAAGGCGCAGCAGTTCAAGATGACCGTCACTCTGCCCGACGACCTGGCCTGTACAGGTGGTGAGTCTATGAATAAGCCGGCTCCCCTCCAAGACTTTATGCTCATCGCTCATCATATTCCAGCCTCTACCGGCAACGTGTGCACAGTCCGCTGCCGGAATAATGCCGTCGCCGGGCCCTTTGGCGGCTGCTTCCCTGTCCAGCAGACCGACGTTGAGCCCAAGGTCAACACTCCCGCCAACTTGGCGTCGGCTCAGAGTCTCGAACTCACCCTCGCTCAGACCCAAAACAACCAGGCCGACCTAGTCAAGGCGCTCGAGGCCAACGCCAACGCCGGCACAGACGAAGCCAAGCAGAACCTTGCTGCTGTCGAGGCCATCCTCAATATTAACCCTACCACCAAAGCCGCCCCAGTTCAAACCCCGGATCTACCTGCGGCGCCTGCTGCTTCGAGCAGCACGGCTACATCTGCGACTGCTGAGGCTACCGAGGGTGCCGGCAACGGTAACGGCAACGGAAGTGAAAACGGAAATGGGAATGCTGGTAACGGCAACAACAGGGGTGGCAATGCTGGCGGCAACAACAACAATAATAACGGAAATGGCGCCGGTAATGGAAATGACAACGGACGGGGTCGAAATGGCGGCGATACCAATGGTGACGGTGGTGCTGGCAACACTGGCAATGCTGGTGTTGGGGGTGGTCGATTTGGGAACAACAACAAGCGCAGCAATGGACTTAGGTGGTCTAACAGAATGGCATAAGCGCTGAATATTCACATTAAGGCATGTACGAATTAAGTGGCTCCGGCCATTCAACAGTTGTGGGTCGCTAAGGTTTCTCCCAATACCATGGTAGAGTGAACCGCTCGTGTGTTCATTCCGTTGTGGCTGAAACGATTCTTACAATCAGTCACTGATGAGCCCTCAGAGCCACATGAACGGAAATTGCATCAGCCTGCATTATAGTTGAACTTGAAAACATTCGAAAACGAATCTAGAATTAGATACTATGAGACTTACAGTCCAGTATTATCCAAACTCGACTTTCATGCTGGGTTCTAGAGAGTTGATAAGTAATTGTCATAATCATTTTCAAGTACGACCCAGATTAAAGGCTTTCAGGGCCTGAAAGTCATGTTGGAAGAGCGACTTGCTATGCCACGCATCTAGATCATTCGGCAGTTTTGGGTATCTTGTGATTATCTCGCGCTGGTCATTGAATCTTGTACGGCTCAGCAATGCTTCGTTTGCTTCCTTGAGGAATAAATCCCCCTAACCATCGTCCCCACTAATGGCAACCCTAGGATTTCCTCTCTAATTCAACCCCTTCCTATAGCGATCACGTACAGTCTCGTAGGAGAAACATCCCAGACTTTTTAAGCCCGAGGGGACTTGAACTAGATTCGTTTTGGTTGACAAAAAAATCGCCAGTCAGAGAATCTTTCTTCGCTTGAGACGTTGATCTTGATCACGCATAACTTTACATCATTTTGCGTACCATACCGGCAGCCATAACTATATATTCTCTATGGGCTACACGATTCTCCGTACTATCTCTACCTACAGCTAGAATGAAGCTGCCGTCAAGGCCACTGAAGGCTTTTCTCGATGCGAAGTACCTCGCTTGCACGAACACACCCGTCCTAGGGTAAACATTGACTACTCCTAGACTATTATGTGGTATCGACATGTCACTCTTCGGTAGCTTTCAATCCACTCGACTACCTTATGTCCTTTATATGTCTGCTTTTCATGTCTTCTCACATGTCTGTCTTCTGCATGAGACTTGATGTGTCTGGTCCACAGTATTCATATCAAAGTGGGAGCAGCGTATTATCTGTCTCCGATGACGGTCAAACCTGATGCATAGACTTGATGGCAATCAGCACAGCTTCTCGCCTGTTTAAGCCGCAAGATGCTTCTTTCGTGCGTCTGGGGAGGTTTACTAGATGTAATTGGATTAGCATATTCATGCAAGGGCTATTGATCATCATCTTTGAGTCAGCAGATCTTGGTCTACGAGAACCGAGCTTGAGACTAAGTTTATTCTCACCAAGCTTTCTGTTCCTTGGGAACTCTCTCTGTCAGGAAACTGCTGAGAGTAGCAACATCTGGCGCCTGATTTCGCTATCGGGGCACGTTGGCGAGAGAAGCAGGCGGGAACTTAGAGGCACGGCGAGTCTTGTTGATGAACAAATGTTTCTCATTCCAAAAAGATGTTACAGCATTGAACATAAGTGACTTTCCCAAACAACTTCTTGTAACTCAATATATAGTCCTACACTTGACGAGAAACCGACCTCCCGGCATCGCCCCCCAACACAGACGTCCGTCGCGTCAGCCGCGGCGGCTGCATCTCATACGAATCGTTTCCTTTTTGCTGCTGCCCGCCTCCATCTTCGAACTCAACACTTATCTCTGTCGTCATCGCAATACCTGTCGGGAATTTTTGATGATCATTGCCGAGAATGCTTCGGTCGCTGTCAGCGTCATCGAGTGCAGCCTCCGACGGGTGGACTGCTGTCCGTCTGGTTGCTGCCTGCGAGTGAACATGAAACTTGCTGTTCGTGGACTTGAGGTATCCGTTGGGCCCTGGAGAGGAGCCAGCATAGTTGGTAGAGCGACTGGCGTCGCGGATGAGAACGCGCAGGACTGGGACGGAGGCCGCGATGATGGTCGAGCTCGGTTCGGCGAGGGAGAATACCCAGAAGAGAAGAATATTATGAAGAACTGGAGTGGCTTCATGAGTGCATGTTTTTTTGTAGACGTGGTGGGGCAGCGGATCGCTTACACTTCTTGTCCAAAGGATTCATGGTGGTGACACTCTGTACAGCCTTCATGATGCCCGTCACGCCAGCACTGCTCCCTGTTAGCAGTCCAGAATTGAACACAGAATGCGTGAAGATATCTCGCAGTAGCCATTGTGTGTCATACATTACGCCAAAACTCATTGCAACGCTGACGCTGATCTTTTCAGCCCTGTTCATGTGCAACCCCCAAATGACTCTCCAGGGCAGAAACGCGAGAACGAAATCGGTTAGAGCCGAATAGGCTACATTGCCTACTATTAGCGACCGGTGGTGGTCAGCGAGAAAAATATTGAGGCGCTTACAAGAGCTGACAATGTTGATGATGCCCGGGTTCTTGACATCCCAACACTGTCCGGGAAGCACGTATGGTGATATATCTCCGCAGACTTTCTTCCACTGTGCAAATACATGGAAGATGAAGAGAAAGCCAATGCTGGCAATGATGAACCAGATGATGTATTTCTGTATTTTCGACGAGAACCGCAGCAGTGTGACGGCAAATGACGCCTTCGTTAAGGCCAGTGAGAGCAAATGGCAGGTGTGTGTCGTGCGGACTAACACGCCCACTTTCAAGGGATCTTTCTCGTGGTGCGTTAGGTGGCCCAAGAGCATCGCTTCAGTCAGGACAGCGGCTGCCGTTAAGAGAAGTAGCCACCCCAGGCCGAGGATGTAGTCGTCCCACCACGTCTGACCACTTCGGGTGACCCGGCAATAGATTCGAAGGGCGAAGAAGATTGTTGATATGACGACCATTGGCCAGATGGCCGCGAGGACCTTCGTCGCAGCATTTTCGACCGCTTCGGGCGGGATGTACTCCATTTCGACTTACGTGCGCGACGATTCGAGTGTCTTTCGTTTGTTGTCGTGGGTGGCTTCGCTTGCGATTGAGGATTGAAAGAGAGCAGCGAGAAAATTCGCCCTCGGATCGACATCAGAGGGAGAAGACAAGTACTTGAACCCAAGTAGCCATGGCAATCCCTGCACAGATCTTCCATGTCAAAGGTGTCAGCTTTTTGTTGGACGGGAACCCTTCACGTGCGTCTTGATTAGGACTTGGCAAAAAGTCTGTAGGATCTGGTACTGTTCGGGCATAGATTGCTGGAGGCCAGGGTAACGACACGAAAACTTGAACCCAAAATTCAATTTTCCATCAGTACTTGTCACTTCGGAAGCCCCTGGAGGGTACTGAAGTTTGCGACGCTTTCAACATCCTTGTGACTGCAGTGTATTCCTGACAGTTTCACTTCCGAGAGCCAACAGCAGAATGGCAAGTCAGGCAACCCTAGTCCAGGAGCCAAGCAAGGCAAAAAGCCCTTTCGTCCCACTCTGAGCCGAAGGTCCGCCCCCCCCCCCAGTATGGTCTACTTTCCCTGCATGAATTCAAGGATTGGAGCGGCAGAAAAGAGGTGTTCAATCTGATCCAGGGGTTGGTGTCCACGAAGAATTCCCCCCCCCCCTGGCTTCGCCACACTGGTGCATCGGAGTTGGTTCACATGCCGAGAATCTCCTGGGCAGTCCTATGATCCAGAAACGCGGGTTCGGTAGCGAATTGCTGGCACATGGCTCACGCTCTTGTGGTCGGGGAACAGCATATTCTTCCGGTGGAAGAAAGTAACAAGCATCGACTGCAAGTCAGCTTTTGTCGTTGATTTTGAGCTTCGACACACTGATCAACATCAGTCCAGGGACAAAAGGATCGCCCGATGTCCCCTCAGCTGGCCTGGCGTCACCCACTGGTGGGTAGCCTAGGGGCGGGGTTTGCGCGTTTAGGACCCCTGGGCTTGGACAGCGTCCGCCGGAACTGTTGCCGCGAGGCACTTGCGGGGATGTGAATCATCTTAGTTCAGGCGTTAGAGTACATGTAGCCCTGGCAAAAAAAGAATCCTGGTTCCAACAATGTCACTTCTACTTGACGACATGTGCTTTCTGTGGCGCCAGGTGACTTTTCGGGAAGAGCCCGGAAGGATCAGAGAAGCATCAATGGGTTCATGATACCAGGAAAAGAGGTTACCGCCCCTCTGCCCGTCATGGATGCTATGCTCAATTCGTCATGCATGCAGCGCAGTTTCGTGTGTCTTGATGGAGCAACGAGGCGGGGATTTTGGACCAGGTCGAATTGGCAGTGCGCAGTATTCTGGGCATGTTTGTCTGTCTGCATCATCATTCCCACAGCACACATCCGCCGAGATGCTTTCTTTCTTCAGTCCATCCTGCCACGCAGGCGTATATTGGTGAATAATAGGGACACCCGAATGAGGCTGTATTCGGGCACAAATACTAGGGCGCGTTGTCCACGCGGTTTTGGCCGGATCGTATTCAACTTTAGGAAGGTCTTTCGTTCAAACAGCCGAGAACACACAACACACAGTATCGACTCAAATCATCGTCTTTCTCTCGAGCAACTTACGCGGCACAAGAGTGATGGACGGGCCCCGCCATGTGTCCTATTCCTCGGTCCTCACTAGATTTCGCATTCCCGGTTCGCTCGGGGCCTAGCAAGTGAGCCAAGCAGGCTTGCTACAACCATGAAGAGAGCAATATCCAACGACTGTACCTGCGTGGACCCTGGCGCACTAAGCATGGGTTGCTTCCGCCGGAACTGCACCTTATGCACGAGTACCTTGCATGTCATTCAATGCTGCATGCCAAGGCTGTACTAGCCAATAGATTGTAAGTCTCCTGCCGAATAATCAGGGTCGTTCCCCTAAGCGCAGGGGTGTTTTTCGGATACGGGGACAGGTATCACGAGTTGTTCAACATGCCAAAGGCTTGATGGAGAGAGTACCAGCAGATGCGCAACGTGCTTTAATTTGGCCACATCGCCCTCGTGGCTACCATGTTCCCACCATCAGTAGTCTCACCAGCTCTTACAGCCATTCATTCTTTCATACGGCCTTGCGGCTCATCACATTCTTTTGAACATGGTTCGCAGTTCTAATATTGTCGCCGCTGCTACGTTCCTGGCCGGCGTGTGCCAGGCCCAGGCCACCGGGTTCAAAAGCGTAAGTTGCTCCGACCCCGTACTGACTAGACATACAGCAGTCTTGCTAGTGCCCAGATTACATACTTTGTTGCAAGAACAAGCTGACTCGTAGGGGCTTTGTAGTGTGATGCGCTCATTGATGCCGGACTTGGTGAAAGCCTCCTGCTGCCAGCAAGCGAGGATGACACGTACACTCGGGCTCTGGGAACGTATTACTCGGCCACTGTGGCGGAGATGAGGCCATTCTGCATCCTTCAACCCAAGACCGTAGCTGATGTGTCCACCGCGGTCAAGGCTCTAGCTCCTCTGAGCGGTGCCGGGTCCTGGAATATCGCCGTCCGCGGCGGTGGTCACGGTCATTGGGGAGGCAATAACGTCCACAATGGCGTGACAATCGACCTTTCTCTTTTCAACAAGACGTCTGTACACAATTCGACGTGTGGCAAAGTATATCTCAACCTGATCTAACTTGCTCGATCTTCCGCTGACATTATAGATCGCATCGATTGGTGCTGGCTCACGATGGGCGAGCGTCCTCGCAGAAACCGAAAAGCATGGACTTGGTGTCACAGGCGGTCGCATCGGAAATGTTGGTGTCGCAGGCCTCACCCTCGGAGGAGGCACCTCATTCCTCATTGCCGAGCGAGGCTTTGCCTGCGATGACGTTGTGAACTACGAGGTCGTCCTCGCCGACGGTAGTACAGTCAACGCCAACAAGCACGACAACCCTCGGCTCTTCAAGGCCCTCAAAGGCGGCGGTAGCAACTTCGGTATTGTAACCCGCTTCGACATGGCTACTTTCCCCAAGAAGACCTTGTACGGCGGTATCATGTTCATCGACTGGAAGCACAAGGACGAGCTTGTGGATTCAATGATCGAGGTCATTTCCGACAGCGAGGAGAAGCCCGGAGACAGCATGATTGTCATGTATACCTACAATGCAGGTGCTGCAGCTCCAATGATGGGCACCATCCCCATGAGTGCCACGGGCGATGAGGACGCTCGACCTTTCCGCGGGATGGACCAGATGACGGCTGTCATGGATATGCGCACGAGGTGGACCTACGGCGAACTCCTTGCAGTCATGCAAGATAACGGTGGCAAGAGGTCAGTTGAACATGGTGAAATGTCGAACGGAGGCACTGATGCTGATGCTACCTGATAGAAACTCCTGGTACACGCTCTGCTTTCACAACGACAAGCGCATCATGGACAAAGCCGAGGAACTGTTTCACACCCTCGTCGCAGACGCCGAAAAGGCCTTCCCGAACGCCTCCTGGTCGCTCAACTTCGTCTTCCAGCCCTTGCCCAAGGTTGTTGCCAAGTTCTCCGGCGGAAATGCTCTCGGACTACAAGACAGTCTGACGCACGATGGCATTCTTTTCGCGGGTGAGGCAACGCTCAACACACGCGCCGAGGAGGCCTATTTCAGCTCCCGCCTGGCAATCATCACCCACCAGCTCGAGGCATACGCTAAGTCAGTTGACGGCAACATCCCCTTCCGCTACCTGCCCTATGCCGCTCCCGAGCAGGATCCCCTCAGCACGTACGGCGCTGAGAACATTGCTCTGATGAAAGACGTTGCCCTTGAGTACGACCCTACAGGATTCTTTCAGACCAGGGTCAATGGAGGTTTCAAGCTCGACAACGTCGCGTAACTCGAGCTTTCTAAGTAGAAGAAGGCTGTTTGAGTTATCTCCCAACAGACGCCCCATAGACATCAGAACAATAGACGGGCAAGCAGGCAAAGACCAACATAACGCCGTTTCGAGAGGCAATACTAGTGACAAAAAATACTGCATCGATCACAACGTTGAACGCACTAGACTTTGAGACTGCCAAACCTTGAGCCAGGCGTTAGGCTGTCTCGGCGAGTGAACTTCGGGATACTTTCAAATGCGTCCGTTGAGTCGTCAGTGCCTTTTGCCCACGAGCCCCCTAGTGCCCTCCCCCGACCTTCGGGGGCCTAGCCGGCAAAAGATTGGGCGCCATCCGGGGATTGAACCCGGGACCTCTCGCAAGCAATGCTTCAGGGTGTAGCCCTAAGCGAGAATCATACCACTAGACCAACGGCGCGTTGATTGAACTATCCCTGGTTGGACCAGGGGCCGGTCGATGGGAAGCAGTGCTGGCAGGTGAGTAAATCAAGGCAGCAACGTCTCGGTGTGGGTCGTGAGTTGCTGTGGCCCGAGATTGAGATAGGGCTTGTGAGGCTATCACGATGGGGGCGTGGGGATGATGTGGGGAGCTACAAGGTTGCTGGCTTGCGTGCCTACGCGGAAAACGGTTCTCAGCCAGGATTATTTTTTTACGCGCGCTCGCCTCATTCCATTGCTTGCCCGGACAACAGGTCCCACCTGTGGCCCACCACTCTAGGTCACTCCAAGCCACTTCCTTGAAGCTTAAGGATCGACCGAGCAGTCCATGGACTACTCGGGCCGGACAGATACTACATAGTCGAGAGCCGTGTGCTCTAGTGACAAGGGAAACCCTATGATGTCCCTCTGCTTGGTCCTCGAGCCCCGGATGGCAACCATACGAAAGTAGTGTAGGTGCATGCCAGTTCTTGCAGAACTGGCTCATTGTGACGACGTATTCTGCTATTTGTCCTTAATTATGTTGATACTGCGAAGCTTACTGCGAAGCTGCGACAAGTAAGTGTCGTGGCCGAGCAACGACAAACATAAGCGAACGTATCAGGATCAGTTTGGATCAAAAATCTGATACGAATTACAAAATAGAATGCTGTCTGCGATGCAAGATCGAAATTGTGACTTGATTCTTTTCGAAGCGCTTTGTACTAGGTCGCCGTGTAAGGTTGCTCCCGGTCCTCGAGCGAGGAAGGACTGGAAGGTCTTACTCTTCAAAAAAGACAAACACTGCTTCACAGGCATACACTCACCTATCGGTGTTGAGCAGGGCATCAATAACACTGCCTTCATCCCACGAAACTTGATCAACTTGGCATTTCTGGCTTTGCGTCCCCGACTTTATTCATGGTCATACGCAGAATGATAAAAGAAACAAGGCTTGACTGTGATGTCAGGTAGGCAGGTATTGGAGACTAGAGATTGATCTCAGAGAAAGATCAAAATAAAAACAAAAAAATGAAATAAATAAAAGCACAAGGATAGGACACCGCGAGGCAATCGGTGGGCCATCGTTGAGCGTGGTATGAAAGGTGCGCCACAGGTCTAGAGAAATGAAAAGGGGCTGTAACTTTTTCCACATACATCAAACACATTTTTTTTTAATTTTATGCTAAGATAAATTTCGCGCAGCTGGGTATCTATCGCTCGTTGATACAGGTCTTATGCTTGGGACTGTGGGCTCTACTCCAGGTAATAAGCCTCCATAACCAAATCGCTTCAAGTTCAGAGTCATTCTAGTTTTGCTTCATTTGTTTGGGCCGCTGGAAGTAAGGCTTTCTCTCGTTTCCAAAGAAAAACACCTATCAAGGTCATGCCAAGAAGCTTGGTGATCATAAGAACTGCATGGCCTGCCAAGTAGGAAAAATGGTTCAGAAACCTGGAGTCCAAAGACTGTCAGATGAAAAGCGCTGTTAAAGTTTCAACACCTTCGACATGGAATGGCCGCTAACTAAGGCCCGGATGACGCCCTTTAATGGGCGCGGCGAGATCAGCCCCTATCAACCTCCTGCGCTCTGCTCCATCTGGGAAAGGAAAGTCTTCTCAAACTTCCATTTTTGCTGGTTCCCTTATCTGTGGCCGAGCTCAGGTTTCGCCTTTTCGACAGCGTCTCCGAGTTTCCACACCGATCCAATCCTGGCCCATGCTGAACACATGTCAATGATGAGAACTCGTGGCTTCTAATCTTTCAAGGGTTAGAAGACTAGAAGCTAACTTGAATAACAGGACTCTCGTCGAAGAGCCGGTTAAACATGCCGATGCCATGAACCTCTAGGGAAAGCACATGATCGCCAAGGTAGGTATCAGCACGAAGCACAGACATTGGGAGCATGAATAAACATAGGCCATCAGCTGAGTGGACACCACTCGGCATAGATCAACAGTTGCGAATAACTTAGCAGTATTTGATATCCTTGGCGTTATACCATTCCCCTCCGCTACAATGGCTTTGGTCGCACAGACTGAGTAAATCGTCATGATTCGCGCGTACGATGCACCTGAGCACATACGACCATACCTACTGGAGAACTCGGGATCCCGTCCGCTCTCCCATAGATAAGCCAGTAAGGGTCGGACTAGTAGTTGGGTGGGTGACCACCAGCGAATCCCTGATGTTGTATGTTTTTGATATTTTTTTCTTGGTGTTTTGGCTTTGTGGTGCATGCAATCTTTCAAACGGCCGCCCGCCGACTGCTTCCATCCTCGTTGCCACTACTACAATTTTGAATTTAAGCAGCATTGTCCTTTAGCTGTATCTTGGTGTCCGAGCATTAATACTCAACATGTAAATTTCGAATTTTTTACTGGTACCGAGACCCACGTGTAATTCTAGCCGACGTGAGGACGTGGTAGCCAGCACTGACTAATACGATGACTGTGCATCGATGGAGTAACGCGACAACGACTCGAACTAGGCTCAGCAGAGACTCGTGATTGTGAGAGGCATATCGAAAGCTCATGCTCATTCAGACAAGCTAGGAAAATCAGTGTGCAAAATTGCAAAAAGAGAACAGTCTGAAGACTGATGATGACGTGGGCGCCATCCGGGGATTGAACCCGGGACCTCTCGCAAGCAGTGCTTCAGGGTGTGACCCTAAGCGAGAATCATACCACTAGACCAACGGCGCGTTCGCAATCAAATCCCTGGCTGAACCAGGGGCCGCTCGATGATTTCGGGGCGATTTTGACAAGTCTATGTAGCCTGTGCCAGAAGACCAGAAGCAGTGGGTATCTCCTATCTTTTTTTCTGTGGGTCACAGAGATTAAGCAGCGATTGGGGCTCTTCCTGACTGCACCAGTGGCTGTGGCTGGTAGCTCCTGACTCTTCGGCGTGCGGTGCGTTGGGCAAGACGACATTGTCACCTTAACTCAACGTCTTCATGCCAGTCCTCCCCCAACAGAGCTTGTTTCCCATACAGCTGGCCATGCATGCATATGGCGCGTGCTACCTTGGTATCGGTCTGTCCTACCAGTCCCAACAGCCCATCGGCTCATGTCACGAGGACGCCACGACGTTGTGCTTATCACATGCTCAAGCCCCAACGGAAAGCTTCTCGGCGGCCTGCATATCCCGACAAAAGGTCTTTCAGCTTGCCTCTTGTTACCGGGCGCCGACGTCGATCTTGACCGACTCTTTGGGAAAAGTCGGAACAGAAAAAAGACTCTGCAAGTGCCGCACGAGGATGTGTGTGTGTGTGTGTGGAACTTGCCGTGGATGCCCAGCAGAGGTCTCGCCACGTCGATATGCCGAGACCCCTCACGATCATGACCCAAAAGGCTGGCGGGAAGAAGAAGATTCTGATCAGAGATGCCTACCGACTGGTTGCAGTACGCCAGAAAAAAGCCACTACCCAGCCACTGGTCGAGTCATCACCACGACACGTCGACGTCAGAAACCCTCCGCTCCATGGAAAAAGGCCTCACACCACGCTTCCTACTGCGCCAAGTTGGTGGGGCATCTTGGGCCTTTTGCTCGCTCCGTTCCATGCCACGCGAGCACCTGTCACAGCGGCCGTGGGCGTCTGCGCCGGCACCGGCATTGAGGGGCTGAGTGGGCATGGCTCGG